CCTGGGACTGTGTTGGTTTTGATTATGGAGGAGGGGGATTATTAGCTGTTCTTGGGGAGGATTTTTTTCTCTGTGGCCTGTAGTTCATTGCTACATAGCAGGAGGGTTGCCTGGGTGAGGGCAGTGTGGCCTTTGTCTTGCAAAGCTGAGATAATCCAGAGTCCTTCCTCTTCTCTATGGGCCAAAAGGGCAGATCCGAGAGGTGTAGAAGGTCGGAGAGAAGGCCTCAATGAGGGGCTTTTGGAAAGGAAGTCATATCTCACTTGCACCAGGGGCCAATTTTTTGATCATAAGTATAGATTTAGAATTGATTAATAAAAGCATTATTCATAGGTGGTGCTTCCCTAAGTAACTAGAGGTTACTAGAGGTCACACAAGGAAAAACACAACTCATAATTGTGTTTTACCTTCCACTTGATCTTGTGCTTAACTCAGAAAGGCTATGATTTAATCTTTTTCTAGCTTTTAGTACTGTAACACATATTAGCCTAACTACATGTTTTAATAAGACTAAAAGCCATGAAGAAAACAGTTCAAAGAAAAGGCAGCCATTCTATCTAAAGTACCAAGATTGTATGCTTTACCTTCTATTAAAATAGGTCTATTGTAAGGATAGTGACATTTTCTTTTTAATATGAGTGAAATATATAGTAACATAGGGTGCCATTGAAACATTTTATATATAAGATTTTTAAAATTTTTTTTTAGTTGTAGATGAACAAGGTATCTTCAGTTTTTTTTAATGTGGTGCTGAGAATTGAACCCAATGCCTCACATGTGTTAGGCAAGCACCACTGAGCCACAACCCAAGCCCCTAAATTATATATTATGGTATTTATTATTACCAATTTCTAAAATCAACCAAAATTGTCCTAGTGAATTCTGTTCTGTTGTTCTGTGCAACAGTAAAACTTTAGAGGAAATGAAAGATGACAGACTCAGAGCTCACACAGTAAGGTAAAAGAATAAGACTCTACTTACAACTGTGCTCCTGAAAATTAAAACAGTTACTCTGATCTGAAACTTTAAAAACTCCAAAACTCTGAAAATGGAAAGTTTTTTCCCCTCCATTTTTCTGCTGGCACAGCATAACTTGAACTTCTATGATGTTATTTCTTTTATTTAACTCACCTAAGGTGAATTAGTCAAGAGTAGAAATAATTTCTTCATAGAAAAGAATTCCAAAGGTACAACACTATAATATGTAGATATTATGTATCATATTTTGTGTATCAGTTTTTTCCTAAAATTTGAAAAATTCTGAATTCTAAAACATATCTGAACTGCCTCCAACTGGATAAGGTACTTTTATATAAAAAACTCTCATGGAACATATGGGAAGAGACAAGGAGAAAGTGTCTTTAGCTTTCAGAGAATGGGAGATTTGATTCAGTCAACAAGTATTTGTGTATTTCACTGTGTGCCAAATTCTTTATGAGGTCGGGTACCATAAACATAAAAAGACTGCCCCAAGACTAATTATTAGAAACTGTGTCAGAAAAATTGAAATAGCAGGGTCAAGTAAACAAGGATTGTTGGATTGCAGAGAAAAGGAATAAAGACCTAAATAAAATAATAGGGAGGAGAAGACCTATGTGAAATATTAACTAAGATAGAATTGATTTGTTGGCTACTAGTAGTGTCTGAAAAAGAGGAACAAGAATCTAAATTAATGCTGTGTGTTTGAGGTTGTTGACTATTACTAGAATTGCAATATGGAAAAAGAAGAGAGAGTTTGGGGAGAAAAGACAATGAGCTGTGATATCCAAACTAGAGTCAGCTAAGAGTAGAACTAGATTGTGGGCACTGGTGTTTAGGTGTAAGTTCACAGCTGGAGGCTGAGAGTTGGAAACCGTGTTCAAGGAATTACTAGTTGGAAATGAGAACATTAGTTTTGCTATCTTGCTTAATGGCATACAGGAAGAAAATAGAGGGAAAATCTGTGTTGGTACTGGAGATTTGTTGTTCCTATTCACTTTATAGAACAGTGGCTCTAATATTTCCATTTGTCACTAAACAAGATAAACTTAGAATTTGATACACAAATAACAATCCCATGCTTTCTAATAGAAAAATATTTGTTGAGTATATCCAATATCTGTAGAATAGCCATACTACTTAAACTTTTTGCAAAGATTTATTTTCATGTGCTAAAGATAGTGTTGCCGAGCAAAATATGATTTGTTTTCTTTAGAATAATCAGCTTAAACCAGTTGGTATTGAGGAATTTAGTTGTTTTCCTACTGGATTTAAACTTTGCTTCCTTTCATATATTTGTAATCTTTTCCACTATAGGAATATAGTGGAATTTATATTTAGATAGCAGGATTATACAAATACTATTTATTTTTGCTTAAATATTGTTTGGTAATTACTGAGTTTTAAAAAAAATTATATACTGTAATTATATAGGGGTAAATCTAATAACTGGAGTAAACCCAGACATTTATTACATATAATTAATTATTCAGTGTTTATTATAGTGACTAGATGAAGATATCCTTTGAATGCTAGATGTCACTTATTTTGACTCTTGAAAATTTGCCATAGTGTGGAAGAATGAGAACTGGTGAATATAATCATTCTTGAGGATAGCATTTGAGCATCAGAACACACAGCTTCCTGGTTTGGTGTTCATCTTCTAACAGTCAAAGCAGATCACCCTTTAGGGTTTCTTGACTTGAATATAAACTAAAATTTAAGAATGTTTGTTCAAATTTTGGATTGATATTCAGAAAAGTATCTCATGCATTTAAAGAAAAAAGTCTTTGGAAAGAAAATTGGAGAGATATCCAAGGTCTCTATTTCCCTAGCAACCGTGACTGTTTCTCCCTTACCATTGGCACCTCCTGATTATATGCCCATGTGCATTTACTATTCAAAAGTACAGAAGATGGGAGGGGAGGGGAGGGGGGATAGTAGGGGATAGGAAAGGTAGCAGAATACAACAATTACTAATTGGGCATTATGTAAAATTGTGGATGTGTAACCAACGTGATTCTGCAATCTGCATTTGGGGTAAAATTGGGAGTTCATAACCCACTTCAGTCTAATGTATGAAATATGATATGTGAAGAGCTTTGTAATGTTGTGAACAACCAATAAAAAAAATAAAATATTAAAAAAAAGAAGGAAAAGGCAAAAGTACACATAAAAGCATCTTTTATAAACCACTTAAAACAATTATGGCTTTCCATCTTCTGTGTGACTTGTTTATCTTAAAATCTTTTTGTAACTTTTTGTTTAACATTTGTAAAACATTTAAAATAAATTTACCACTAAAAGAAAGTAAGTGCAATCAGTTTCTTCATTTCTACTATAAGATTAACCCTGACCTCACAGGTACATGTAAATTCAAGGTGATTGTGTTAGATTATTCTTCTGTATGAACCATGTTGTAGACCATGACCAGAGCCACTGTGGAATTAGTTGTTCCATTCCTGTATTCTTGCAGGAACTAGCCCTTTGTTAGTCTTTTATCAACATTAGTTATTAGCTTTCTTGCTGTATGTATATACATGTGTCTGTATAACCAATGTGATTCTGCAACTTGTACACTTGGAAAAATGAGAAGTTATACCCCATTTGATTCAAATATATGATATGTCAAAATCATTGTATTGTCATGAGCAACTAATAAAAAAAATAAAAAGTAAAGTTTTATCATTAACAAAAGTCTTAGCTACAAAGCAGCAGGTAAAACAGCCTAACTGAGAGGGCAAGTGGACAAGTAAGAACTGTAATTAACAAAGCCTCACTCCTGTACTGTAGCATTAAGATATGTGGTGTCCAGCTTTATCCTTGAGAGAGGTATGTATATCTATACCTCTGTTTATCTAGCAGTATATATACTGTGGGCCTTAGCCTTACTTGTGCAGAATTAAAACCATCAAAGTCTTTCTTTTCATTCTCTCCCACTCCATGTCCTCTATTTTAAACTATACAGATATATACATTAGAATATATTTTCACAGAAGTGTCATTAAGAACAGAGCCTTTGCTCTTTATATTATACTTGTAGTACCTCATAGTTCCTGACCCATAAGAAATTTAGTGAAGTGAGTGAAGTATGCAAAGTGAAATGGTGACCCTGCTTTGCCATTTCTCCTTCCCAAGGTAACAGTTATCCCCCGCCCTTTTTTTAAGCGTAGTTAGCAAAATTTCCTCTGTGCACTATTGGTGTTATGTAATTTTCTCTTTGGAGCAGGGCTTGCTAACGAAAATATAGTAATTAAGCATTTATAGCTTTTCCCAGACTCTTAAGTCAGGAATTTTGTATTACTCTCCAGGAAGAGAGATGCAATTGTAGCTTCCCCACTGGAGCAAGAGGCACGGTGTGTTCATAGGTTGAAGCTGAATGAGTGGAATTAGTTTTCCTGTATGTATGGTCTGGATCATACAAGACAGCTTAAACTTTCTAAGGTATAACTTGGTATAATGCTCTATAAATGTTGAGGTAAATTTTTAAATAATTACCCAGTCTATTTCTGGGACAGTTAATCCTTGTGTTAAAAAGTTTTTTTTAAAGGAAGAGAAGCTAATTTAAATACTCAAAAAAATTATAAATAAGTGGTAATTATAACTAGAGTATTTTCAAATCTATTTTTATTATTTTACTATTCATATGTGAAATCTTTAATGAATTCAAGTACTTGAAAGGTGACTAGATTGTGTCCCACAGTCCTCGCAGTTAGGAACTATTCTGAAATTTAAGTTTTCTCCATTTCTTACCGTAGTCTATTTGAACTTAAAGGCCTTAATTATATATATTCCAACTACTTTTATTCCTTAGAATATCTTACTCTACATTAGTTCATAAAAAATGCATCTAAGAAAGGATTTTCTAAATGACAGATAATATGTAATCTATTGACAGAACAGATTACATATTATCACATTAGCTTGGAAACTCTAAAAATTGTTTGCATCTGGCTAGCTACTTATACCCTCATTTTTGAAGAAAAATGTGATACATATTGGTTTCTTCCTGTTTTTCCCAGCAATTGACCTGAAAAATGAATCTGGAAAAGTATACAAAGGCCCTGCAAAAGGCTGTGCTGATACGACTATCATAATTTCAGATGATGATTTCATGCAGGTAGTTCTGGGCAAGCTTGACCCTCAGAAGGTAATGTTCTCAAATTTTTCATTTATTCATCATTATTCCTTCTTGTTTGACAATTATAGTTTTTGAGCTGATTTCCAAATTGCTTCAAACAAATCTGAAGGAAACACAGTTGGTACCAGTATTCTGGAAGACAAGTCATTTGTAATTTTAAATAGAGTTTCAGTTGACATTTTTTAAAATTGAAATTTTGGGTGATATTCCTTATCATATAGTAAAACAAAGTTTAAATCATAGCTAGACTTTTAAATCTCTCATGTCATTAGTTCAGAGATAAAAACCCATGGATAAAGAAAATGTGGTATTCAATAGAATATTACTCAGCTTTAAAGAAGAGTGAAATTATGGCATTTGCCAGTAATTGGTTGGAGTTGGAGAATATCATGTTAATCGAAATAAGCCAATCCAACAAAACCAAATTCACAATAAGGCAGGGGGGCCCTGGGGAAGAATAGTGTTACCTTAGATTAGGTAAAGGGAAGTGATGGGAGGGAAGAGGAGGGGATGTGGAAATAGGAAAGATAGTGGAAAGAAACAGATATTATTATTTCATGTATATATGTGACTACATGACCAATATGATTCTGCAACATAAACACTCAAAAATGAGAAATTATATCCCATGTATAATATACATGACAGTATAATGCATTTATGCACTTTGATATAACTAATTAAAACAAATTAAATTCCTAAATAATTTAAAAAATGATATTAGCAAATACTACATAAAATTAGATACTCATTCTTGGTAAGGAGGTTGATATTTCTTACTAGAAATGCTTAGTATCAGAAAATTTGCATAAATTCACTAGTTGAGCATCTCATCCAAAAATCTGAAATATTGCAAGATCTGAAACTTTTTGAGTGTTGACATATAGCTCAAAGATGTTTAAGGTTTCATCTGGGTGTGGTGATACATGCCTGTAATGCTGCTGGCCTAGAGGCTGAGGCAGGAGAAGCGCAAGTTCAAAGCCAAGCCTCAGCAACTTAGTGAGACCCTGTCTCAAAGGAAAAAAAAAAAAAAAAGGCTGGGGATGTGGCTCAGTGGTTAAGCACCTCTGGGTTCAGTCCACTTTTCCACCCGCTCTGCGCTCCCCACCACCCCCAAATGTTTTGGATTTCAGATTTTTGGATTAGGTATGATTGATCTGGGTAAGGTTAAGAATTTCTTCAAAACTAGAGATAGGATCTTTCAACATAACAGTCAACATATTACTCAAGGTGAAACATTTAGAGACCTTTCAGTGGAAAGTAGAAAGTCATTAAGGCAAGAGTGTCTTCTCTGACCATTAGTTAATATTCTGAAACTTTTGGCCACTGCGTGCACACACATGCACCTGTGCATACACACACACACACACACACACACACACACACACACACACACAGAGGATTAGCCATGGCAGTTTGAATAGAGGAGAAAATTTTGCTATTTTCAATTCATGATTATGTAACTAGAAACTGCAAGAGAATTAAGTGATTCTTAGAATGAAGAGGTTCAAACAAATGATTGAATAAATAATTATTAGGAAATAGTTTTCACATAGCAGCAAAACAGACTGTTAATAATCATAACATATTGTACAGAATAGCAATGACTATTAACCGTATAAGCAAAGCATAATGCTTACTTGAAAAAAAAAAAAAAACTACGTCACTTTGTAAGGAACAGAGTAGTTTGACTAGCTGAGAATATATTCTTATTTTCCAGAATATAAGGACTAATTTGAAAAGAATTGGGAAATACAGTTGTTCACAATTTGGTTTTCAGCATTATATAGAGTGAATCTTGGCTCTATCACTTAATCTTAGGGTCTCAAAAATGAGTATGATAATTGTAATGATCCCCAAGTATTGTTTTTGAGAACTAAATCCAATAATATAAATGAAGAGCTTAGTATAGTTTTTGGCATTGAGTGCTCTGTTAAATCCTTTCCAGGAATTTATATGGTACCTAATCTGTCTTAGATTCTAGTTAGCAGTGAATAAGGCAGTGCTTCTACCATGGGGAGCTTAGTTCTGGAGCACTAATAGAAAATAAATAGAATCTTTTATATAAAGAAAAATAAGGCAGAGTAATGGGTGGAGCAGTGGTTGGCAAACTTCCCGTGTGTCTCATAGTAAGTGTTAGGTTGTACATTTTAGGAGTAAGATGGTTGTTTTATTCAGCTTTTTTTTTTGCTGCTGTGACTAACAGACCTGATCAGAATAATTTTAAAGGAGAATTTTATTTGGGGACTCAACAGTTGCTGAGGTCTAAGGTATAGACAGCTGACTACATTTTTCTGGGCTCAAGGTAAGGCAGGACATCATGGCAGAAAAGTATGGCAGATGGAAGCAGCTTACATGGTGATCAGGAAGCAGAGAGATGGATCTCTTCTTGCCAGATACAAATATATAAACAAAAGCCACACCCTAATTCCTACCTATTTATCCTTACCCTACCATTCAGTTACCACTCAATTAGGAATACACTGATTGGCTAAGGCTCTTATAACCCAATATTGTCTTCAACCTTTTTGCATTGGTTTGTACATGAAAACTTTTGGGGACACATCTAAACCATAACCATGGTCTCAGTTGTAGCTATTCAGCTGTCATTGTAGTATTAATGTGGAAACAATTGGGAGTGTCTATGTTCCGATAAAACTATTTCCAAAAACAAGTAGCAGATTAGGTTTGGCCCTCAGGCCTTAGTTTGACATACCTTGGGTTAGAGTATGACAAGGTAGGGGGATTATTTTAGATAAGTTTGTCCAAAACAGCCTGATTAATAAGACTTAAGAAAAAGCAATGACCAATGAAACTGAAGAAAAAAAGTTATTTTTAAAATTATTTTATTATTTAAAAGTCTTTGAACTTGTTTTTTTCATCTTTTAAATGGGGATGAGAACTTTTAATGTACCTACCTCAAATTGGTGGTTGTGTATCTTAAGTGAGATTGTATTTGTGGATCTGCTTAATAATGCTAAACATGTATAAATATTTGTATTTTTTAAGTTAGCTAAAAAACTAATAGCTGCTTTTTCAGTTCACATTTCATATATTCTCAAGCTATAAAGACTGTGATTATTTTTATTTTATGGTAGGGAATTTATACTGAGGGACAACTTAAGTTACCCAAACAAGTTTCTGTATCATCTCAGATAAAGGCCAAATGGGAACTTTTTCTTAGCATGTCAGCCTTTTGCTTGGTAATGATGAGCTCAATACATTCTTACCACATATAGACATTAACCTAAGCATTTCACACTTTATTTCTCTTAACTTACACAACAGAGTTGTGTTATTTAGGTACTGTTGCCTTGATTTTTTTTTTTTTAATTAAATAGCTGGGAGACTGGAGCTCAGAAATACTAAGTTTACCTTGCTATTAAGTGCCAGATCCTGGATTTTAACTGGCGCTGTGGTGTTGGAGCCATGATGTGTTCACCACAGAGCTACACTATCTTATTTTGTCATTGTATGGCTATTTCAGTAAGATATAGTAGATCTCTTTAATCTGCTTTTAAAGTTCTGAATTGATATAAATATTATTCTTAATAAAATATTCATCTCCACATGTAGGAGCAGAGCAAAACCAGTTATAAGTGTGGGTTGTGATAGGTCTGGGAGTACTGTTTCTTCATATAAATTATTCCATCTTTTCTAAAATACATAGGAGTCTTTGTAAGATAAAAGTTGCCTTTGTTGTCCAGAATTTTTAATAATTGTATTCAGTCTGAACAGTCATCTTTTTTAAAAAATGGGCAAATGTTACATGATAACAGTTGACATCTCTTTTCCTCTCTCCTTCCCAGGCATTCTTTAGTGGCCGACTGAAGGCCAGAGGGAACATCATGCTGAGCCAGAAACTCCAGATGATTCTTAAAGACTATGCCAAGCTCTGAGGGGCATACTGCATTAGTAATAAAAATAGAATAATTAGATACTTTCTTCATTCAAGTATTATTTGATTATTCTGCAAAAATGATCAAAACTAAGATATGGAAGATGCTTAACATTTTCAGATTTTCAATTTCTACTAATTTTGCATATATTATTTTTACAAGGAACAATAAGCTAGCTTATAATTATCTTTCTGTTCTTCGAACTGTATCTTCATAATAAAAAAAAAGTTCACTCAAGTCCATTTTCTTTAGAATTTGGGATAGCATTTATAAGTTGAAAGAAAAAATTAAGTGAATAAAAGCTACTTTGATATCTTTTACACTTATTTTCTGTTCTCTAATTTATTGATACTCTCATATGTACTTATTTCTCACTCTTTGCTATATAACATTGTTACCTTTTTAGACAAGGGAAAAGTCTGTGCTCCCAAGTAGTTTTTTTCTCACCTTCCCTTTGCTGGAAATTGTGTACTTTCTCATACTGTTTATAAATCTAGCAAGGATATAGCTTTCTTACTTAATCAATAGTCTTAACAAGTGCTGTCATGACTTTTCCCATGAGGTGTTTGGGAATTGTTCCTTTGATGGATTGTCTACAGAAATGACCATCAACAAATGGAATACTCAGGTCAGTTATGAAGTAAGTCTCTTTTATGCATCATGAGAAGCACATGTGGATTGCTGTTACAGGTTCTCTGGGAAGCAGATTGGGATGGAGATTCATGGGCAGAAAGCTGATTTGGGCATTCCTTTAGGATCCTCAACTGTTAGGGGAAGCAAAGGAAGCAGGGCTTGATGCAAAGGAAGTTAGGCTGTGGTATAATTACCACAAGACCTCAACTGATCTTTTGGGGACCTCTGAAGTTGGCGTGGCCCTTCAGCATTGTCCTGTAACTAGGTATTGTTTATGGTCTACTCTACAAAGGGACCTTGACCTTACACAGAGTAATTCCTGGAGAAGGCATATTCAGTTGATAATCTTTCTCGAAGGTGGATGAATATGTTCTTCAATCTTGATGGGGATTTGGGGAGCTCACCATAGCTCTTTGCTTCAGGGAAAAAGAATATAGACTGAGGGAATTCTTGAGTTAGGGATTAGGGGAGAAGGTCTTAGAAATTTGAAATTGTAGGTAGAACAGTGATGGAGCATAGAATATCCTTATTAGTGATTTATTGAATAGGTTAAGTAGAAGGCATAAGAAGAAAAGCTACATATTTAGCAGTTATCCCTTGGTCTAATTTCTCTATAGCATTATGAAATTGACCTAAGTTCAAAATGATCTACTGTTCTTCCAAGTGAATTTTAAAACAGCAGTGACAGTCTTATTATGTTGTTTTTTATTGTATTAAACAACTCTTCCTATTGAGCTTGGAAAAGCTTGGTGTCCCAATAGAAATGTAATCAAAATTAATCACAATAAATTAATGAAAGTGTTGGTATATGTACCTTAGATGCTCAAACTGACATTAAGAAAGTTTTAATTATCTTTTCCCTCTTTGTCAATCTTAAAGGTTGGAGAGCTACTTATATTCAGATTTTTGCAGCTAATTATTAGTCTTAATGCTGTTTAACTTTTTAAATATTTAATATTGTTAATGTACCATCCTGACTTCTTTTACTATCCAATGAGAAGTATATTAACTTCTTAAATGGACCAGTCTGACTTCTATGTCTTTTGACTTCCTTTGTCAACAAAATTCATTAGACTCATTGCCCAAAGTTTTCATTGTGAGCTTGTTCACAGAATTCCTCTCCCTGAGTACATACCATAATTCTGAACTCTGAATTCTGAAGTGAAAGGTGTTCAAGCACAAACCATATTATTTGTAGGAGCAGTTTGGATAAAGAAAGCCACCCATTAAGGGATTGGTAGGAATCTTCCCCCAAATTTGTTTGCAGATACCAGCTAAGGTCCAACCCTGCACACTTTGGATGGTATACTTATAGCAGGCCCTATTAACTCTTTTCTACACTGAAAAGAAAACCCAAACTCTGTAGCCTAAGAGAAAATTAGATGTGATATCAGAAGAATGTATACCCAAAGTCCCATTAGTGTTTCTGAATTTTTTTTGTTGTTTAATCTTTATCACCTGGTAAACTTGTATATAGCCTTAAGCCTACCAAGTTGTGTCACCTGTGTGTAGTTTTCAATCAACATTGATGGAACAGTTTCTTACACAACTTTGTATATGTAGTTTAAGGCAAACAGTCTGAGAAAACTGATTTTTTAAATTGGAGAGAGGGATTTGAATTTTAACTTTGTTCATTAGGTTGTCAAAGCATCAAAACTGATGATCTAGTTTTGCTGAGAAATTCTGAACTAAAGGGTAACAGTTATGGAAAGTGTTTTTCTGAAAAGAAGAACATTTTAGGTCAGTCTGGACCAAGAAATTTAATAGGTGAGGGGGAAAGTAATTTTAACTCAAACAGGTAAAATAGAAAAGTTGCAAGCTTTAGATAAAAACTAATCTAGAATGATATTACAGGCACATGTAATATAGTGGCTGAAGTTGCCCAGTTATGTGATATCTAGTCATCAGGGTTAACATAGCTTTTAGAAAGTATCTGAGCTGGTAAAATGTTGAGTCATTAAAATTCAAAATTTAACCCATATAAGAGCTGTTTATAGCCTCATCCAGAACCCGTCTTTTAAGATGGTTATATAACTTCTGGATGCACAGCTGAAAGAACTGAAAAATAGAGATGTACAAAGAACATGTGTTGTTCAGGGAACCTTGGCTGGGGAATTTTTGAAGGCAGTATGGAAGACATAAAATTAAACCAGAAAACAGTCTAAAAATATCACCAGGGTCATTTGAAGTGAGGTTAAATAGTTCTTTGCACCTTAATTTCTTTGGAAGTAACAAGTAATCAGTAAAGAACAAGATGGCTTAAATCAGGAGTTGGCCAATGTATTCTTAAATGGCCAGATAATAAGTATGTTGGGCTCTATGGCCATATTGATCTCTGTACCTTAAACAACAACAACAAAAAACTATAAAATTGTGAAAAACATTTTTACTTAGCTGGAAAATAAATAGGCCAGGCGCTGGATTTAGCCTGCCAGGTAGGACCTTAGCACAGATGTTGAGAACCATTGTTTTAGAAAACAAAATTATAAATTGCCACGTTTATTTAAACAATTATGATGCCTGGCACAGTGTTGCATACCTGTGATCTCAGATACTCCTCTGAAGATTGAGGTAAGGAGGAGGATTGCAAATTTGAATTTGCAATTCAAGTGGAGTACATCCTTGGGTTCAGTCCCCAGTACACTGTCACATTATGAAAGTAAGATTGCATTTCAGGAACATGTTTATTAATAATAAGTGGCAAGGGATTAAAATTACACTGAGATTCCATCCCTAGTCAGAATGACAATTATCAAGAATACTTGTAACAATAGATGTTAGTGAGGATGTGGAGAAAAAGGTATACTCATGCATTGCTGGTGGGACTGCAAATTGGTGCAGCCACACTGGAAAGCAGTATGGAGATTTCTCAAAAACTTGGGGAACCACCATTTGACCCAGCTATTTCACTCCTCAGGACTTAAAATCATACTACAGTGACACAGCCACATTAATATTTATAGCAGCTCAATTCACAATAGCTAACCTATGGAACCAACCTAGGTGCCCTTCATCAGAAGAATAGGTAAAGAAAATGTGGTACATATATACAATGGGATATTTCTCAGCCATAAAAAAGGAATGACTATGACTTTTGCTGGTAAATGGATGGATCTGGAGACCATCACGCTAAATTAAATAAGCCAATCCCAGAAGACCAAAGGCCAGAAATTCTGATATGTGAACGCTCCCACACCGAGTGGGAGGGGAGAGAAGTTTATAGATTAGACAAAGAATGAACGAAAGGGAGAGGGTGGGAATAGGCAAGAGTAGAATGAATCAAACCTAACTTTCCTATGTGTAGATATGAATATACCATCAGTGAAATGCCACATCATGTACATTCACAAGAATGGGATCCTAATTAGAATATTCTAAGTTATTCTCCATGTAAACATGTCAAAATACACTCTACTATCATACATATCTAAAAAGAATTTTAAAAATTAAAAAAAATGTTAAGGGGACCAAACGAGTAAAAAAACTGAAAAAATTACTTATACATATTTTTAATGGAATTTTGTTTTGCTATTTTTATTAAAGTATGCATAAAATTTTTAGCTACCAGAGAATAGCTGTTGTACGTCATTTTTGGTTGTTATTTAATCTATCTTTTCATGTATTTTCTGCTTTTAA